CAAAATGTGAAAATTCCAGAAACAGTTAGGGTTACCCTATCTAGGTATCAAAGTAGGGTTACCAAGATGGTGCAATTATCGCCAACCAAAATAATTTGCGCCAAGGGTGTGGGCTCTCCTAGGACCGAACCAAATGGTTTAGCTAAGAGGAATTTCACGACAACAGAATAGATGATAAAAATTGTTATATAGTTGTAGTTCCTCGATGATAAAGTTATAAGAACGTATGCTATACACTAGTGGAGTTAAAGCCCAAATGTGTTCAAGAGGTCATTTCTGCCAAAAGAGGACATACCATCGTATTAATATAGAGATTTTTCAGACCACTTAAGATATATAATGATTAAAAGCTAAGGTTTTTAGAAAACATCATTTTTTTCTCGTTTCTCCCAACTAATTCGAACAGTAGAGTATTTTCATGGGGAATGTTCTATTGTGTGGAAGTTAGGAGAAATATAATTTTAAAAAATAATTTCAAAATTTGATATTGTCACAAAAGGGTTGAATTTTCGAAAAAATGGAAAAAAGACTTACTTTTGGTGAGATTATATATATATATATCTTGGACTCATAAAATTATTTTTATTCAATATACATAACCAAAAACGATGGTTATTGATAAATGAGTACTGGGTAGTACAATGAACTGTGCAACACACACACACACATTTCCTAACCCCATCCCTCTCTCTCTAATCTCCGTCGAATCAGCCAATTCGTCTTCCGCTTCATCGTGATTCCGCCAGTAGATCTTTAAAAAAAAATTAATACAAAAGAATCTGCTTAAAAACAGGATGATTCACTACCAAACCGACAAACTCGCAGGGTGTGTAGGAGGTAGGGAGACGACTAGGAATATCATAGGAATGCGGGATCGCAAATGCCGTAATTGCGAGCTATGATCCAAAGAAGCAGAGAATAGAAAAAGAAACAACAACATATTAATGGGAGAGTACTACAACAGGTGCTCAAAATCACGACCAGAAGTCGTCTGGTAGTCCTGACAGCTGCGCTGCATAGAGTTCCTTTCGTTCTGGAAAATTCCTGGCATGTCACATATCTTCTCTGCAGCTACAGATATTCGAGAGATTCCTTCAACTTGTAATGGACGTCCCGTGCCGTCCATTAGTGTGAGAGGGTCGGAAGGAAGATTAGACATATTCAAAACAACTATTTATTCACACTTATCAACAACAACACAAATTCAATAAACTAAGTTAAGAAATGCATCAACTACCAAATATGTGAAGCCACCGCGAGGTAGACGAGATAATTGGACATTAATATTAAATCAGATATAACTTACACTGAACACGTCCACTTTCTAATTAAAACCGAGCGAATCTAATTTATCACTAATTGTCCAAATCTTCAATCTTAATATTAATCAAGTAATCTACGAATTGCTCTCACCTAACTTTACGTTATTCAATCACTGCTATCATACATCACACACACAGTCTAACTTCTCTCTCTCTCTCTCTCTCTAACTCGAAAGTTTAATCTTTATATACAAGTCTTGATTTACCTAATCACATCTTCTTCTTTGGAGGAAGGTTTTCAATAGAATACTTTTTAAGGACCCATTATTCCCCAAGAGGGCTATTAGTGGCAAGAAAGCGGATAGACACGTTACAAACTGAAGGAATGGGCATTTCGTACACCAGACTCTATGTGAACCCAGAAGAAGTCCATGCACTTTCGAACACCTGTAGTAGTACAACCTCTTAATGAAATGTTTTATGTCGCTATAATGTGTTGCTGTTTCCGTTCTTTTTCTCTGCTTCTTTGCACCACTGCTTGTAACTATGGCATTTGCGACCCTGCATTCCTATATGATTCTGAGTCATCTATACCCCCTACACACTCTGCAAGTCTGTCGGTCTGGTAGCGAATCCCCCTGTAGAATGTACCTGATAGTTTTTTCGTGTAATTATTTAGTTTGTGTTCTCTCTTCGCAATAAGTGTTAAATGGTACTAAAGTACAATATTCATAACTAAAAACGATAATTATTTATAAATGAGTACTGAGAGATGAACAGTGCAATGTACATTGCAACATTTCGTAACTCAAGCTCTCTTTACGTGCACCGTCGAATTAGTCCGATCCAAGCTGTTTTAGGTTTTCCGCTTCCGTACACTGCGATTTCGATAGAAGGTTTTTGAAAAATTCAATACTAAAGAAGCTGTTAAATGTTTTCTTTCTTGTAACTCTTTAGTAGGTATCCTTCCGTCGTAATAAATGTTAAAAAGTACTAAAATACCAGTTTTTCTTAATAAATATTTAACTATTTATCGTAAGAGAACTCATATACCTAAACTTCGTTCCCCTTGTGGCAGTACATAAAATAAAAATCATTATTTTTCCTTTTTGTCCTTTCATGTATACATCAGGAACAATCTTTTTCGCATCCGTAGGAAGCTGCAGGATGCGGATCACGAGCGAGACGCCGACTAACCAAATACCGCACATGCTCAATAGGCGACATATCCGACGAATAAGCAGGCCAAGGAAAAAGTAGCGTGTGATGGACTGAACAGAAGTCTCGAATAGTCTTTGCAACATGTGGGCGTGCATTATCCTGCTGAAAGATAGCTCCAGGGATGCCTTGAAGGAAGGGAACGACTTCGGGCTTGAGCACTTCACGGACGTATCTGTTTCTATTGAGATTATTCTCAATTCGTAGCAAATTGGATTTCCCATGATACTAAATCGCACTCCAGACCATAACTCCGGGTGTTAGGCCACTATGTCGTTCAATAACGCACTGTGGAAGGCAGCGTTCACCAGCATAGCGTCTAACACGAATGCGGCCATCATGGTACCACAAATTGAAGCGTGGTTCATCTGAAAAGACAACTTGGTGCCAATCAGCTTGCCAGGCTCTGTGCTTATGAGCCCATTGCAGACTAACCGTCGATGGGTTACCATGAGGGGGATCTTGTATAAAGGCACCCTTGCACGCAATCCACGGTGCAGCAGACGTCGACGAAGCCGACATTAGTACACCTGTATCAGTAGTTTTTCGAAGTGTTCAGTGCTCATCGGTCCACTGCTTCCAAACTCTCATCACTGTGGAACTGTTTCGCTGCACACGAACTCCTATTGCGCGATAATAAAATCCTCCTTCTCGAAGGCCGATAATCCTCCCCGTTCAAACTTCGTAAGTTGTTGGAATTTCTCCTTATTTCATCGTGGAGGCATACTTAAGTCTCACTAAACGTTCGCCGCTAACAAATAATCATTAACTATTTTCAACGTCCCACTACAGCCCTCTATTTATACGCTTTCATCATCAGTTCAAAGAGCGCTGCGCACGCCATGCATGCGCGGTGGCTCTGAAACTTTACTTTTTTACATAACATCCTATAATTGATATTTGCTGCAAAGTTCATTTAATTCTGCTGATTCCTTCATGGTGTTGCCTTTTTTTACAAAAAGCAGTATATATGTATATATGTGTGTGTGTGTCAAGAGGGTGTCATTGCGTGCCCCCTGATACGAAACCCCGCTGGCTTCGGAAGGAGGCAATTGGTAATAACTGAGACAGAGAGACCGGGGTGAGTGAGTGAGTGAATTTGGATTTTAATGGCGCAAGGGCCAACTTCGGCCAAGCTGCGCCTAGAGAGAGACCGGAGAGAGAAATATCGTTATTGCTTTGTCCCATTTTATTATTGTTAAAATAAATAGCTTTATCTGTTAATTATTAGTAATCTCTCTAACCCTTTAACCAACACCAATATAACATATATATATATATATATATATATATATATATATATATATATTCATACGGCAGTAATTTCACGCGGGCCGCAACACGAGAATAATGGTAAAAAACACTATAAAACAAAAACAACATAGGACAAAAAAATTTTAGCAAAATACTGAAGCTCTTATTATTTCCTTTTGTTTTAATATTATACTATCATCACACAAGAGAGCACACACACAAATATTTGCTTAAATGCATTTTTTACTGAGTTATGGGGTAATTTCGATTTTCTTTCATCCGAGACCAGGCCTCTTGTTTACATTCTACTATCAAAACAAATTGTAGCAAAATTGATAGATTTGATTGCTTCATTAGTAGAATTTCTCGCTTAATTTTTAGTATATTGTTCGTAAATAATTGAATTTATCAGTGCAATGGTCTATGACCAGGTCACTCAAAAAGGGCTGTGGAGCCGCAGGTTCAGTATCACTGAAATATAGATAGATAGATTTACTTTTCAATTCTATCACCCGACTTTGATTTTTAAAATCTGTTCTGTGTGATAAAACCGCTAAGCAAAATAAATGTTTATGTAAATCTCTTTCCATAAGTAGGCGTGATCATTCCCTTATTCCAACTAAGTAGAGAAGTCTGAATTTAGCAACGTAATGAAGAAAACAGTCAGCTTTACCTGTGCTTGAAGCACGTCCTCGAAAGAAGCTCTTTATTCACTTCTCTTGATTTATGTATGAAACTCATCGGAGTCATCTGCGACTTAACTACTTGCATCTAATAGGAAAAGGAAGCCTCCATTAGTTACTCTTTTTTCTTTCTCTTTTTTTCTTCTCTTTTTTCCCTGTTTATCACGGCACAACTTGGTTTTTTGATACTGTAGCGTATTGCTTCATATTCGTAAATGCTTTCACTGAGATTGGTATCCATTCGATTCTAACTTTCCTCCCCAAATTCTTACTTTCTCAAACCGTGAATCTTACTTTTATAAAAACACGGGCTTTTAATTAAATAAAATGAAATTACGATAAAACACGGCTTTAATTAAATGAAAGGAATATATTTAAGACGCCATTATGATGTATATATATCTTGTTCAAATGTGCAATCGTTTTAATAAAATACTTTCTATTCATCCATTCAAGTTCAAATACATTTTTTAAAACTTATAGTAGATGACGATTCATTAATTAAATTTAAAAATGAATAAATAGTACCAAACAAAAATAATAGTCCAACACCCTATATATATAAATGAAAATCATTCGTTGTGTCCCTGTAGTGCAATGGATAGCTCGTTGAACATCTAATCCAAAGGTCGTAAGTTCGAATTCTACCTGGGATGGCCTAATTTTTAAGAATGTGATTTCTTTTTTACTATACTATTTTATTATAGTAATTAACTTTAATGAATGAATAAAAATAGTAACAAACAAACAAAAAAATAGTTCAACACCATATATAGAAAGGAAAATGGAAAATTGTAAGGAAAATCGCTTTCTATTTTGCCATTTCATATTGTGATTCTGTCGTAAGTACATACATATTTATATTAGATGAAACTATTTAATAAAAAGTAGCTAAAACAAAAAATTTCTTTGTTCACCTAAGTAGGAATTGGATTAATTTTTTATATATTACTTGTTATACAGAATGGGGTATAAAGATAGTTTTAAAGCAATGATTCCGGATATATGAACATAAGTTCAAGAGGAACAGACAAAAATATATTACTTTCACAATTAATGTGCAGTAGAAATAATCCATCTCTTTTTTGTGTGTGGTATATATAACATATCTATGATATCTATGATACATCTATATGATCCGACTTTTTAAAAAACATCTATTAAACTACACTTTAAACAGTAATCAAATGCTGAAAAATAGGTAATATAAATCGTTTGTCTTCTTGTATTTAAAAAAATGATCATTCACCGATGACCATAAAAAATAACTTTTTTTGGAGTAGATTCTTTTTTTGAATTAGTTTCATATTGTAGGCAAAGATTGAATTTCTTTTTTTAAAAAAAAAAAAGAAAAGAAAAGAATGATCACATTTTTTGAAGAAAATATTGTGTTAATTTTGGAAAATTTTATCTGTATATATTTTTAAAATCTCAATTTGTGCAATGATTATTTAAACTGCATTATTTAATTTGGCCGTGAATTTGTTACGTTATATACTTTAATAAAAGCAGACTTTTTTTTTTTGCATTTTAATGCTAATCACAGATTTATAAAAATGTATCGACGCATTTAAAACTTATTCTTAACAAAAATTCATTCTACATCTAAGTTTAATTTTTTAAAAGAATATATTTAAAAGTCTTGTAACGAAAAAAACAAAACATTTTTCTTCTAATACTATTTTACTCTTTAATAAATTAGTGGAAGTTGATTAAAACAAATATTTTTGCATTATACAGTCTACCTACATTTATTTATACAAGCGCAATAAACTAGTTTATCAATATAATTTGTTTTCAAATAAATTTTCTTAAGAGCGTGAATCTCGCAATATTATTAAGCATCGTTTTCCTTTTTCAATTCCTACTATTAGCTCACACTCTCTATATATTTATTTTTATCTTGTTAAAATTTCAATTGTTAATAAAATACGTTTTAAAGTGCTCAATTGAGCTGAAATTTTATATGCACGATTATTTTGGATGACAATACGGCAATTTAGTTATAATTAATACAAATTAATTGATTAAAACTAATAATTCAAAGAATTACAAATATAGCCACGTTGGCATCATTTTTGGTGACTTAGCGACCATTTTGGCGACTTGTGTCAAAACTTTAAAAAGTTTTTTTCTCACCTTTTAAAGCGCTCATTTGAGCTGAAGTTTTCTATACACTATTTTTTGGGTGACGATACGATAATTTAATTATAATTAATTAAAATTAATTGACTGAAAATAATTATTCTTCAGAATTACAGATACAGCCACATCGGTTTCATTTTTAGCGACTTGGGTTTTTTTTTTTTCTCACGTTTTAAAGCATTCATTTGAGCTGAAATTTTATGTACACGACTGTGTTGGATGACAATACAATACTTAAAGAATAAGTAATAAAAATTAATTGTCATTTAATGTTGTGATTCTGTCATATGTTTATAAATATTTATATTATATAATTGTAATTAAAACTATTTAATAAAAAAAAAACTAAAATAAAATTTTTCTTTGTTCATCTAATTAGTAATTGACATGAATTTTTTTTTATATTAATTGTTGAATTTTATTTTACTCTTTGAAGAAATATTTAGACCGTGATAGCCTTGTGGTCAAGGTCACGGAGTCGTGGCTGGCATGTCATGAGTTCACGACAAATACCGCTGAAGACTCACCATGCCAAGGGAACCATGCAAGTTAAGTATGTCGATGTTCAAACGTCCTCCCGTTGGTGTGAACGTTAGGAGAACGGGGTGCCAGCTCAGATTTCGTCTTCTTTACTTGACCACGGTTCAAAATTAAGAGGTACGTCACCAAAAGCCGTCATGTAGCTGAGTAGCGCGACGTTGATATTCACTCATCCACCTTCAGGATGCGTAAATGTACCTGGTGCGATATTGTTTGAACCACACATTGAAATATTGCAATCAGGAACTCAAGTGACATGGTGGGACAATTAAAGTCCCAATCAATAGCAAAATACTTTATTTAACTTCTATTACACAGATCTGTCTGTCTGTCTGTGTTAGTAAAAATAAACCGACTGTGGGCAGACTAAAAAAGAAATAAAATTTATGTTCCACACATAGATCTTTTCATTTTCTAAAATTCCGTGTTTCAAAAAGTTAAACACAAATACATTTAATATACACTAATGAAACAAATTGAGAGAATGTGCATATTTTATCGAATTGTATGAAAAGAACTGAACTGAATGAAAAATCACTGCTTCTAGATAAAAATGCAATTCTTGTACGATAAATACGTAAGCATACACGTGTGTGTAGGTGGAGCCAGCAGAAAAACAGGCTTTATAAGCGCGTGTGAGACGTATTTCGTTCGCCAGCGCACCTCTGCGAATTTCTTGGTGTTATTTTGAAACAATCGGTTCAGTTCAATTTGCAACAGTAAAAATGAGTAACCACCAACGTTTAGATAATGGAATGAGGTGGTGAATTGTGGGGAGGCTAGAAGCAGGTCAATGTCGTCCAGATTTGTAGAGAGTTCATTTAACTCCCAGCGTCGTGTGTAACTTATAGAAACAGTTCCAGGACACTGGATCCATCGAAAGAAAACCTGGGCAAGGTCGTCCAAGAGCCACGACGGCCAGAGAAGATCGCCATTTGTCGATAAAAGCGAGGCGTAACAGAGGGGCTACAGCTTCTCAGCTCTCTCGTTAATAGTATGCAGCCACAGGAACCCGTGTATCAAGGGTAACTGTTTCGAAAAGACTTTATGAGACAGGGTTGTTTGCCAGAAGACCTGCTGTTTGTGTCCCCCTCACGTCTACGAACAAGAGAGTTTGTTTAGCATGAGAGATAGCATAGACAGCATAGAGATTGGAATATGGATCAACGGGTGACCGTTCTGTTCATCGATGAGTCCCGTTTCAGCTTTAACACCTATTCTCACCGTACGTTCATCATATGGAGAGAAGCAGGGACCCACTACCCCTACCCTCCAATGTCCGCGAAATCGACAATTATGGTGGAGGAGGTTTAATGGTCTGGGCAGACATCATGTTGGATGGCCGTACACATCTCTATGTCTTTGAAAGAGGCTCTGTGACTGGTGTGAGGTATAGGGATGAGGTCTTGGAGCCCTGTGTTCGCCTTTTCAGGGATGCATGTGGCACCGAGTTCATTTTAATGGACAATAACGCTAGGCCATATAGAGCTCTTCTAGTCGACGAATTTCTAAAGAGTGAGGATATTCACCGTATGGATTGGCTTGCCAGGTCTCCAGACCTCAACGCTATAGAGCATGTCTGGGACGCTCTAGGGAGGGCAATTGCAATTCGCTAACCCCCTCCAAGAAACATTCAGGAAATGAAAACAGCGTTGCTGAATGAGTGGGACCAATTGCCACAAGAACTGATAAATTGCCTTATTTCAAGTATGACATCACTCTGCGAGGCCTGTCAGAGGGAGCCATACCCCCAATTAACCCATTTCTTTTGTTTATTCTGCAGTCGCTGTTTTATACCTTCCAATTCCAACGAGCGTTACGCACGATCATGATTGTGCATTGCAATTGTTGAATGATTATTTGTTTTGTATTGTATCCATGTATGTACATATCAAATTTCATTAAATTCGGTTCAGTAGTTCTAGAGATAAACGATAAAGTCTGCAAATTCTCTTAATTTCTTACACCAGCATAATTTTATTTTTTCTCTACAGTTAGAGGGAGATCTATTTTTATGAAAATAAATGCTATGTGTTTCTGCATCTTTTCATTGCTGCTTAAAGGAAAAATATTACAAATTCCAATATAAAGTAAATATATTTACATTTAATTGCTCTCATATATAGAAAGGAAATTAATTTTTCTCTATAGATTAACATTATTCTCAGATGTTCCACAATAAATGTAGTTAAAAAAAGAGATAATAAAGAGAGATGATACCGTCATAACACATGCTTTTTTTTCATACTGAGCTTAATTTTTACCGAATTGCAAAAATTTCAGTCAAAATGGAGAAAATAGACAGGAAATAATTAGGATATCAAAACATTCTTACGGTATTGGTTCACATCGCATTAGTATATCTTGAATCAATGTGTAGTTGGCATTCTCAAAGTCAAATTCGTTAACACTGATAACTTTTTACTATAAAAATTCTTAAACTATAGAGCTCCGTTTTATTGTATTTACTACATTGTTCGGTAAAAATTTTAAAAAAAGATTAGAAATTAGTATATCAGTTAAACGAGAGGAGAAGACGGACCAACGATGATCAGGAACGGTAAAGCATGTGTATATTGTACTTGTATGCAGCATGGCGTACTGAGCGAGTGTCGAAAGGATATAAGGAACACTAATGGTGAGCGTGCTGTCATCCCTTCAGCATCATCGAAAGGGACCAGTTTGAGGATAACGGAGTTAAGGCTTAGGGAGGTATCATGATTGTGTGTGGTACTTCTAAAGAGATTCAGTTATGATTGCCAGTTATTGTTGTACCGCGGTTTTCCTTCTATAAGTGAATCTTTTTTATATAGGGGCTGTAGTTATCAGTTTTTCTTTATATCAGACATATCATTGGACAGTGGCTGTTAGAGATTTCTTGGAGAATGAACATATTCAAAGCATGGATTGGTCAACAAGATTCACGGATCTAAATCCAATCGAATACGTGTAAGATAGTCTAGGAAGACCG